GCTGAAGTTACTCGTGCAGACCACTCATTCGGCGGCGAGTGCTTCCCTTAGTATATATATTTATGCTTTGGAGATGTCATACTTCATGCAGACCACTTATTCGGCGGTGAAGCTATGGCGTCGGCAATTGCTGAAGTTACTCGTGCAGACCACTCATTCGGCGGCGAGTGCTTCCCTTAGTATATATATATATGCTTTGGAGATGTCATACTTCATGCAGACCACTCATTCAGCAGTGAAGCTATGGCATCGGCAGTTGCTGAAGTTACTCGTGCAGACCACTCATTCGGCGGCGAGTGCTTCCCTTAGTATATATATTTATGCTTTGGAGATGTTATACTTCATGCAGACCACTCATTCGGCGGTGAAGCTATGGCGTCGGCAGTTGCTGAAGTTGCTCGTGCAGACCATTATCCCAGTCTTTCATTAGCCAATATTATGAAAAAAAGGGCTAAGTGACAATTTATTATTCTTGTTATTATATCTGTCTTATTACCCATGTGTAGAAACTTTTTAAATTATTTTTTATATTTAAGGTTAATCAGAAAATGTCAGAAAGAATCGAAATAATATGATGCTATCAAAGAGGGAGTACGCGGATACTAGGCCATTTAATGTAAGTCTTAACGTCAATTTATTTTTTGTTCTATCTCTAATATGGCTAATTACTAAACTTTCATATCAATAGTTAATTTTTTTTTTCTACACTATATTTCCGTAATAAATTTTCCACTAATATCCATTAGACGATGTAAAATAATATTCCTCTTAAGAGCGCTTTAAAGATATTCCCTACTATATTATCGATAAATGATCCTCAAACTTTATCCCGCTACGCATTTACCAAAAGGCTGTTTCCATCCGATCCTGTAAAGTCTGTAATAAGTATAAAGTGTCAGCTTTATTGAGTCGCACAAAGAAATTTCACTAAAGGAACTGTTCAAGGTTAGTAGTATATATTCATTTTCAAATGACCTTAACTTGTTAACAACACTATATGACCTCAATACTAGAGGAGCAAGACATTAACTTTCAAGTATTCCGCTCTAATGATATGAATTATTTACATATCACGAATATCATGCGTCGCTAGATAAAGATGTAAGGAAGATGATATATTTTATCTACCTGTTAGATCATGAAAATCCAAGCAACCAAATTGAGACACTCTTCTATAACCTCTGGCAAATAATACAATTATTAAGTATCCACTTGTAGTACTCTACTTGATTTCCGATTCGAGCATAAGTATAAATAATTTTTCCGTTTATAGTAAATAAATAAATAAATCACTAACCATACTCATTGATTTGCAGTCAGAATTTTTAGGGAAATGGAATATGATGAACAAGAGGATTCTAGTTTTTACGCCCGATAATGTCTAGTGTGGTAATAATGGGTTCGGAATGGAGAATTATCGTTCTGGTATATTACAGCATCCAAAGGTTGATCAACAAGTAAAAAATGTGATATTATAATTGCACGTTTGTTACAAGCACAAGCAGATATATCATAAAATGCAAATAATCAGGATGAAGAGCACGAAGAACGGGACGATTACAGCTGCAAGAAAAAAAATTTTTTTTTATTTGTTTCCTAAAAAGTAAGAATAAAATGGTTAACATTTATATGAATCTTACATGTATAGTATATTAAGCAATGACTCTAGTTAGTGTAAGAGAAAAAAAATTAATTATAATTTATTTAAGTTATTTTTAGAATTTCAAACTATATCAAAATAATACTATTTTGATATTGATTTATAATAAATTTAATATATAAGTTATAATCCATTATATTAAATTCATAATAAATTTATTAATATTAAAATAGTATTATTAGAAACTCTAGCTATTTTAATTAAATAATATATATATATATGTATTATTTAATTAATTAGCTGAATTTTGTTCAGTATACTTCATTATTTTATTTACATATATATTTTATATATTATAGGAATTATTATTTATAAACAATTTTATACATTATTAGATTATATTAATTTTACTTTATATTAGCTTGTTACTATCAATATCATTTCAAAAAAGTATAGTTAAAACTAATGTGCCAAAAATAAGAATCCTAATGATTTGATTTGATTTGATTTGATTCTTAATTCTTAGGTTTATATTAAATTTAATATGTGAGTAGTAATAATTCATTTTTTTTTTTTTTTTTAATCCCGCAATCAGGTTGGTGTCGTTTATTTATTTAATCATAAAGAACCATTACAAGTT